GTTAAGACAAGTGGTAATCATGTTGGAAATGATTCGCACATAAAAATATCGGAGATGCGTGACCCGAGATTTGAACCCGCTTCACGCGGTTTCCCAAGCGAGCGCGTTACATCTAGGCTACCACTGCCTTTCACATCATGCAACATTGCTATAGTTTGAGTAAAATAAAATAGATACAAACCTTACTAGGAAAAGCTTATATAACAGAAATAAATAAAAAGCATGTGAGTCCTTGCAATCTAAAAACTATGACTTATGAGAGATGATGTACTCGTAGCTATCTAAGTCGATCTCTATACGTCACTTCGATAATGTTTGAAATGTCATTCCTATATATTTTTAGCTATCTATTATTATATAGAAAAGAAACTTGTTTAAGTTATATTTCCGAACCTATTTTTTTAACGTTGTGAAATATGTACATTCATACATACCACCTGCATACAAATACTTATATAAAGGTTACATAAGGGTCGCCGGTTAGAAAAACCAGTAGTGCTTTAATAAGCAGATTTAATAAACTCAACAGAACCTTCCCCATCAATGGGACGCAGCAGGATTACTTTTCGGTATAATTTGCCTTCGCTGGTGTACACAGCATCACATTTGAAATTATAATTTTCGCGCGATTAAAAAGGGTTGCATGCAAAGTGCAAACTAGAAGGAATATTTAAAACAATCATAATATCTATACAAAAATAAACAAACCAATTGTACTAACATAATAATAGAGTGCTAAAAATGTTACAATAAAAACTAAATATTTTTTAACAAATTTTTCCTAATCGTCACAGCAAATAAGTACTATCCACATGTCTACTCCATAGATAACATTATATTTCCGATACTCTGTTCAAAGGACGTTTTACTTATAATAGCCCTGGAATGATTCACATAGAAGATGATGTTATCGAATAGATGGGTTCAGATAGAAGATGGGCTATGTAGGGACAGATCTTCGGACATTAATGTTAATCAGCTAGATAACGTTTGTTGCCATGGTAACCGTTGTTATTGTCCGACAAATCCATATTAATATTATAAATATGAAAGTGTTGTCCTTCTTCACGTCGAAACGGAGTGACCAATTGGCATGATTTTTTGTGTGAAGATAGTTGGAGGGCTGGAGAGTGACATAGGACTTTTTATCGCGGCAGATCATCTCATTCCTACGGGAAAACACGTTATAATACAATCCAAAAAAATATTTATGATCATAATTACTTGAAACTTGGTATTAATGCTCTTCAATAAAATTAAATACATACGTGTTTTAGCGTTTTTCCAAATTCATCCTATAAGGGGGTAAAATAGGGGATGAAAGTTTGTATGAAACTACCTTTTTAGAGATTTTTTATTTTAGTTTTAGCGCGTGGGGAGCCGCGGATTCAGCTAGCGATATATATATATATATATATATATATATATATATATATATATATATATATATATATAATTATTCATTGCATGAAACAAGTAATAAAAAAAATACATAGAAAATGACGTGGACAAAGGTGGACTTATTTCTATAAGAAATCTCTTCCAGTCAACCCATGTATGTGGGCAATAGTGTTAAATAGCGAGACAGAGAGAGAAAGTGCAATGAAACGATAAGAAAATAAGAATAAGCATAAGTAAAACAAAATAAATACAATATATAAACATATAAATACCTATATATACATACTATAACTCTATATATAATATATAAGCATAAATACATAAATACAAATATGAATTATAAACACTATATAAATATTTGAGAGAACAAATAAATACCATATCATACATATTATATACATAAACATACTTATATTATTACAAAACAGAAATATATAAATTTTTCAATTATGAGCTAGAAAAAACTTTTTCGTATTGATTTTAAATGCATCATTTCATTAGAAGGGCTTACTTTGTAGGACTTTGGGAAGTCTGTTCCATAGCAATGCAGCTTGTACCGAGAATGCGTTTGGAAAAACTTGGTGTTGCTTCTTGGTATGTCAAGCATCGATGTGATGCAGGGCCGCCTGGAACGCGATGGAGTGGGAACTGGGAAGAAAGTTAAACCGGGAACGAAGGTAAGACGGATAATTGAGGTTAAAAAGAAAAGGATAAGGATGTTGAACAGAAACGAAAGGATGTGCATAAAACGGCGATGGCGGATAGGGAGGATATAATATTATATTCTTTCTTTAAATGAATGTAGTATGCCTAATATGCGTTATTTAATTATTTTTATTAAAATTTAACATTCCTTTTACAAACAGAGAGTTGTGACATACGGGATGAAATCTTTAGCTATTTTTGTTCTGTTACGTCAAGGAAGTATAACTTCTTACGTGCGTACATAAGTACACACACACGTTTTTTTAGTATCTCACATATCCTAATCATTTAAAACACAAATTGAATTTCATAAAAAGTGCCGATAACCTACAGAAGTTTTACTCCTTGCGCGTGTACACCAGGCGCGGATCCAGAGTTAAGTTTTGGGGGGGGGGGTCATAGGCTGAAATATACATATAATAAAACAGTAACTTAGCAAAATCTGACCAGGCGCGGATCTAGTTTTCTATTTGGGGGGAGGGGGGAGGGGAGGGGGACGGGGTGGATGGCTTTAAAACTTTAGCAGGTATATAAGGAACAAAAAACGTTGAAAAATAGTTTTTTTTATTTCTGGCTTGTTGTGACATCTTATCGAAAACAATTCTATATATAATTTCAATTTCAAAGAAATTTTCCAAAAAATGTTTAATGTACAGATTAGACTTAGTTACAATTTTATTATATGTATATAGATTTCTGCAAAAACTTTTTGATATTCATGAAACTAGGGGAGTATAATCTTCAAAATATATATAATAACCAGTTTTTTTAAATCGAAATGTTTATCCGTTTATTCCTTCCTTTCTTAGATTTCAAACTTCTCTAAAAAGTATATTTGGCTTTGGGGGGGGGTCATGACCTCTATGACCCGCCCCCCCGGATCCGCGCTTGGTGTACACATTCATACACGCACTCTTTAATTTTTTGTTTACACTAGATATGTATATGTAAAAACTTGTTTTGAGTTCTAATTCTCTTAAAATGGGCTGATGTAGACCGCGTGTACATTTCTAGGTCATTGGTTTACGTATTGACGTAAGTGTTCGAATAGCAATTTTGCGAAAAGCTTATTAATTAAACAATTGTACAGTCAGATCGATATTTTTATATATTTTTGGCTTAACTTTATTTACTTATATCTGTATACATCCCTTTTTAAAACCACTCCTACGATCAGGATCAGGCCATAGTCCACCACGCTAGCCAAGTTCTGGTTGGCGGACTGCACGTGCCTTTCAAGATATGCAGGTTTCCTAACGATGTTTTCACAGGCAAGTCATTATTGTGTTGAAAATAATTTACATATTAAGAACTTAAAAGGTGCCCGACCCGGGTTTTAGAATTGATCTACTTGGTTTCGCAAAAAAGCGCTCTACAATAAAAACCTTACCGTAAAAAAAGTACTTCCAGTATATTTATACTAGAACTTATTTGGTTACACTTTAAATACGAAGAGCTTTAAATGAACAGACCGAATAAAAAATGGCGACTATATTAAAAATCAATGCAAAATATGAGAAAAACTATAAAACATAGTATTAAGCAAGTAGGAGACACATGTTTTATACTAGCTGTGAGTCTATACGTGCATGTAATATGGCGCCTAAGATCCGCCATTTTGATTTTTTTAATGTGATTTATATACCCTATGACACTCGCAATATTAAAACGAATCCAAAGACGTATGAATAATGAAAATCGGTTGAGCCGTTTATTAATTAACAACATAGGGTCGAACATATACGAATATGTACATATATATACATACATACAGACCAAACACATAACCGTCCTTTGGGCTTCAACGCAGTCGGATAAAATAGTCAATAATACAATACCTATGTATTTCATTAAATTATCATATATTTCATTTTAGTATTTAAAATGAAAACGTCATTAATATAGATGTGATGATGATGTTCTTCTGACCGATTCCGGCTACGGCGGCCAATCTCATTGAGACTAGCCAACTGCGCAGGAGATATTATAGTGCACAGGTGTACGCGCAGACACAAGTGCACTTTCTATTCCTGTCACTCTCATACTCGGTGGGACGACCACTAGACACGACCAGTGAGAGTTAAGGCGTAGGACCAATGGCTTTACGTGCTCTCCGAGGCACGGGGGTGAAATACCGTCAAATTCCCAACTCCGGGCTGTTACTGAGGCTTACTATACAGAAAGACTAAATAACTAAACTAGGCCCAACCCGGGACTCGAATCCAGGATCTCCGGGTGTGCAGCCGTACATGCTAGCCGCTACACCACCGAGGTAGTTAATATAGAATTATTCTAAATAAAAGACATAAAATATGTAAATATGTATCCGACTATACCAATAGGAAAAAATTGTACCTATATAAACGAAAATTAAAACATTATTAGATATATTGAGGCAGATTGTGATATCTTCAATTACTGGGTAAGTGCGATTTTGTCTTTCTTCTATTTTAAAACAAGTTAGACTAATTAAAAAAATATAAAATAAGTATTTTAAATAGCGTTGCCAGTGGTTCCGTTCATGTAGTTTATATATGTATGTATTTCGCTTTGCTTCTAAAATATATATTATGTTGAAAACTTTCGAACTGAAAACGCAAAATGATTTTTTACTTACTTGTAGGTAACTTAGTATATATACTTTACAATAAATTTTATTAAATTTTTTTTATAAAGTCAAAGTTTGTATACTGAATATTTTTTGGAGTACCTAACATTTTTTTAAATCTTTTTTCCTATGGTAGATCGTAATTAAAGGCGAAAAGCACTCCAAAAGATAAATTTTCTGATAACACTTTCGAAACCTATGGAAACTAGCTATGAGAAATATAAAATTTGGATATGTATAAAAAAATATTTTATCTTTTTCAGGTATACATACAAGGTTGTCCAAAATGGTTGTCAAATTGCTTTCAATACTCCTGATTATACCAACAATCTACGCTAAAATAAACATAGATGTAATCGCAGCCGGGGAAAACAAGCGAGATGTGAAAGTCTTAGGCAGCATCGTCAACGTGATCTCTAAAACTGAACAAAATACCTTTGGGCTGACTGACGAGAAATTAAAGCAGTCCGTTTCCAAGTACTTCGGCTTAGTTCCTGATAACGTGTACGTTCATAGCCCAACCCCATGGGGAGATTTATATAAAACCATGAATTGGGAACCCATCAGACGAGTGGTAGTTCCACAAAAAGCCGCAGTTTTATCTGTAAAATCTGAACCGGTTTTAGTGGCGAGAAAAGAATTCGTAAACGAAGATGTCGTACCAAAAACAATGAAGACTGAATTTCGCGAATACGTGACAAATGCTATATCCTCTAAATGGGACACTGAGGGTGAATTGGACGTTGAAGACATTATGTACGAACTGGACATGAAGACTGATCCTACTTTCATATCGTTCTCATCAAAATGGGGCCAGGACTCTGACAAGTACATGCCAATGACCGTCGGTTCCGAAATCGAGTTAACTTTAGCACCCAATCAGAAATATGTAGCCGAATTGTACGTTACCAAGGAAGAAATGATGATCCGAGTGGATTATGAGACCAGTCTTAGAGGAAGTGTCGCTATCAACTTCGATAAGGAGTATAGAGGTCATAAATTCTGGGCGGTGGATGTCAATACACTATCAACTGTCGGAGGTTTCAGGAAGGTGGTACATTCATCTGAGATTATTGAATATGTTCAATTCATTGACGCTAACATAGTTGTGAAGGATCCTGAAACCGAAGCCGTAATCAAAACATTGCCTTTGAAATTCTGGTGATTTCTATTAAATTGGTCTTAAATAAATTATTCACTTTTGTTACGTAAAATGGTTATTTTCTTTTATCCTTTTAATTGTGTCTAAAATGGTTGATATTTCAGAAATCTAATTCTTTTTGCTATAAATTTAATTAAAATTTTAAATTTTATTTAAAAAATATTTATTTATAGTTTTATTTTGTACAGAAATAAATATTATTCATTAATTTTCTAAAAAATTATACCTAATATTATAAAGAAGTAATGTTTGTAAGTTTGTTTGTATAATCTCTGGAACTAACGAACCGATTTAGATGAAATTTGGTAAGAAGATAGTTTGAAACTCTGGGAAGGATTTTTATCCCGCAAATTATCCCTTAAGGGGGTGAAAATAGGAATGAAAGTTTGCATAGGTAATCTACCTAGGGACGAACCCGAGCGAAGCGAGGGTGAGTCGCTAGTCTATATTATATTAATTCATAATTCAGTGACCTTAAAGATAGAGAATATAAACAAAAAAATATATACTAAAAATTACGATTTTGTTTTTGTTTAAAAAGCGTGTCTTAGCCAAAATAGAAAGACTGAAAACAATTTCAAATAATAAAATTTTTAACCTCAAGTATGGAGAAAACGCTCATTCGCCAGTTTAATAACTGTTAAAAGTCAGCATTTTATTTAGTTAGCAATTCAGCACAGTAATTATACTCTAAGCACTCTAATCTATACTAATACTAGCGACTTTAGCCCCGTTTCGCTCGTATATATACCTAGATGCCTTTCGTATTTATCTAATATATAAAATTCTCGTGTCAGTGTTTATAACAAAACTCCTCCGAAACGGCTGAACAGATTCTTATGAAATTTTGTGTGCGTATTCAGTAGGTCTGAGAATAGGACGTTAACTATTTTTTTTAAATTCAATTCTATAATATCTCTAAGTGATAAGGGTGGTCCAGTCCGGTTTTTTTTTTGGTTTTCATAATTATTTATTTTAATTTTTTTATGATTCGGCATTAAAAGACATACAAATCTAAATTTTCAAAACAAAATATTTTATACATGTATAGATACGTATATATATATACGATATAGATATTGCGCTATTTTGGCATATAATATTAGTAACAGTAGCCTATGTGCTACTCCAAGTCAAAGTTTGTGTATTAAATTTCATCAAAATCCGTCCAGCCGATATAGTGTGAAGGACTAACAAACATACACACTCACACATACAAAATTTCGCATTTATAATATTAGTATATTATATCTAAGGTGTTCAAATGAAACAAACATATATTGCTTTATAAATTTATTAAGCAATTTGAGCCTTATTGTAACGGCATATTGTTCATTATTGGAAAAATAAATAAAACTACACTAATTACGATAAATATTCCTACTTGAAGAAGGAAGCTTTGATAAGTCAACGTGTTGAGATAGTTTAATTAAACCCACGACACCATTCAATACTGGGATGGTGGGTTATTGTGGAAAATTGAAAAATCCGCAGCCAGCCTACAGACATTCTATCTCGATTGATAGCTTAGTTTAATTCGTAATTTAATACAAAGCAGATAAAAAATTAATAAAAATTCCACCCGAAACGTGGAATCAAAATAGTGTCACGTTCCGAGTAGAATTATTATTTTTTAATCCCTCTACGACCGCGGACACGCCGGCGTGTCAGTTTTTTTCTTAATTCAATTTCTTAGAAATTTACCTGGAGGTGTTAAGTTTATTTTGAAATCGGTATCAATTGATATTGGGCTACTTCGGCCAAACTATCGGTCGACAGTCTGTGTGTAAGAGCTCTTAATATTATAGGCGTTACGCTTTTCTATTCCTATTATATTAAAAATTGGGTACATTCGCATTTATTTCAATTGTTATATCACAATTTTATCATTTGTATCTGAAGAGTATTATACAAAACGATACATACAAACAAATATATGTTATACGAAAGTAATTTTACTATTACATTATAGCTTATTGAAAAAAAATATTAGACAACTGCATAAAACTATCCAATCGCCATGTTTTCTTACAAAATCAAGAAACTCTTACGTTTATTTTTCATCAATTTCAATTTTTGTTATAATATTCGAATGAAACTAGAAAGACGCATCTTTAAACCATTCTCGTATATAATTTAAAAAGTCCAACATTCGATTTATGCTAAAACTCGACTTGTTCAGAAAAAAAAATCAACATTTAACAAAAAAAATATGTTTTTTATATTTAAGTACAAATATGCATAATTTCAGCCATATTCGCATTTTTGTTCTTTTTTTTATTATTTTTTTCTTAATTAGAAGCTGAAATGCTTTACTTTAATAACATAAACAACTTTACATTATATCGATTAAGGTGCGTTTACACTGTGCATTTTTTTTTATTAAAAAAATGAAATACTTTGTTTTGAAAGCCTGTTTTATATGTACATTATAACATGAATAAAAATAATAATATCGAGTACGAGCAAAATTGATAACAATTAGTGCCCTATTTTGCTCAAAACATTTTTCTTCTATACAAGATAAAGGATTCACTTATATTTTAATTTGAAACCTTCATTATAATACTTTCTTAGATTAACGCGAATATTTTACACTTTAAATAGCACTACTTTCCAGTTTTTTTTCGCTGTTTAATTTTCATTAGGTTTTTCCAAAAGTATCCTGGTATGAAAAAAACCGAAAAAATAGATTTTTATTTAAAATCACACCCTTATAATTATATTTTAGGGCACTAGCGTCACCAATTAAATTCGAACCGACATCTTCTGTCCATTTTTAGCTCAATACGAGTAAAGGTGTACAATATACACGTTTGTATATATTTTAAATATTTCTTCACACAGTGTAAACACGCATTTACATTATAGAACATGTACTATTTATTATTTGTCAAATTTAATTGAAAACACAATTCTACATCTAGCGCAGTATAAATTATACATTTTCATTAATAAAATAAAAGAAAAAAAGAGTCGTAAATATACAAAAAAACATGAAAAGTATAAGCATATTTTGATGGGGTTTCTACAATATTACAGGCTAATTTGCCGAAACTTAAACAGGCGGAATACATAATAATATATAATATACATACTTAAAACTAATGAACGATTGAAAATATTTTGTTATTCCAAATCTATTATTTATTTAATTATTTACAAAACAAAAATAAACGTCAACTTTTATTGGTCTATTACAAAAGAAATAGTGCATATATTACGCGTCACATATAAAAAATCCTTATGTATAGATAGTGGGATTCGATCAAAAATAATATAATAATAAAATATAAAAAAATATGTGTTTATGTGCAGTTTACACGCGGTAGAAGTGGAATCTTCAAAAAAGTAAACTTTAAGAGTAGGGTTTATTTACGATAATAGTTACAAAGTTAAAAAAATATTTTACATTTTATCATCGATCAAAAAAGTACTAGATACACAATCCCATGCAAAAGTTTTCTTAAAACTATCGCCAATAGTGTTTAATTATTCTAGTTGAAATAAATATGACACAACAATGTAAATTAAACCTTAAATGCAATGCTTAAAGTTGTTTTCATTAAAAATATATTAAAAGCGCGCTCAAATGTTCAAATGAGCGCACATTCGGTAAGGACATTTTTTGTCGCTGATTGTGTAACTATGTAATTCTTTTTTGATCGATGCATTTTATTCACATATATGTATTACAAAACATTATAATATAGATTTCGAATTTTCACGAAAGAAATTATAAGAAACACTGCATAATGTATTCTGTCTCATTCACTCTCACGTTATCCTTCGATCGATCGAGTTTCAAATCACAACAGAGCTGAAGAACTTTTCACTTTAATAAGAAAATGATTTTCTAACGCCAAATTAAGACACATGCAAAGAACAATATTGTAACTCAATAATGCGGTGTATTGAAATTAATTTCTCACATATTTCAAGCGCAATTTCAAAATTGCTACAATCTTGTTCCTCGTACGTATTGATATTAGCCAAGAATCAAGATAATGTAACATCTTATAGTTTTTTTATGTTCTAACTAAAACATAGAATATGTTATTATTAATTAGCAATATCTTTTCATTCTAATAATAAATACCTGCTCAATAATCTAAGAGAAAACAAAAATACTAACAAACAAATTTTATAATAATGTAACCTGTATAGATAATTGCTTTAAACTGAAATCGAACCCTTAAGGATTTTTTTTACATGACCATATTTCACATATTCATCTAAATTATACTATAGTTAATACATATATAATTAGTATGTATTATTGCTGGTTTTATTTTGTATGAAAATAATTTATTAAACACTGACAGTTTATTTGCTAAAAAGCAAATCGAGATTAATAAAAAAAAATGCAATAAACTCAATAGTTCCACCTCTTATTTTGTAATCGGTTAAGACTGATTATTTAAGATTAATAATTGTTATTATATATAGTTATAAAAAATAATATATTTCCTCACAACAACTATTATTTTCTAATAATTACATTAAATGGGAATGAACCCACGGTCTTTACAGTCCTATTTAATTAGAGATAAACCGTCAGTGGTAAATAAATAACTCTCAAACTGTGGGTACATCGTTTTCGTATATATATTTCAAAAACAATATTTATTGAGTACCACATTCATTTTATATGTGTAATATACATAAAAATAATTGCTTCATATAAAAAATTCAATTTAGTTTTCTTGTTAATGGCTTCAAAGCCTGCCAGTTTAGCACAGATTACTTCGCCAATGTAAAAAATTTATAAATATGTTAGGACATTAACACACAGCACCATCTAGTTCCATGGTAAGCTACGAGGCTTGTGTTATGGATACCAGATAGTTGAGACACTACACATATATAACTTTAAATACATACATACATATTATAAAGTCAAGATAATTGTAATTTCAAAATGTATATGTCATATGTTAATATATAGAATTGTTATATATTTTGAGCTATATTCTTTTATCGTCATAAATTCCATAACTGTAGAAATATTTAATTCATTCTATGATCGAATGAACAATGAGGTTTTTCATAAGCTTTAAAATTCATCCCCAAAGTTTAAATATGGAATGCAAGTTTGTATGAGTTGTCATGTTTTTAAGTTAAAAGGGAAATTGAATTTTTTAAGCTTTTTATTACATAATTACTTGTATATATCATCTGTATAAAAGGCATTTATAATTTATTTGTCATTTTTTATATGTTTGAATAAAAAAAATTTGACAAACAATAATAAAAAAAAACTCTTGTCTATTTATTACAAATCTAAACGGTGACAGACTGACAGTATATGATTTAGGAATAAGAAGCAATTAAAAAGAAAAATACATTAAGAATGTATGCTAAATTTACCATATCTGTATGAAACAATTATTTTAATAAAACACAAAAGACAAAAAATAATAAATTTATTATATATCATTATCAATACTAAACACAAATCGGGGTACTCAATAAATACATTGGACGTGCAAGGAAAAACATTGCAACTCAAAATTTGAAAATAGAAACTAATATTCTCTCAAATTTCGAATCGAAATTCAAAATAGCATCAATAGCGAGTTGCAATATTGTTCTTTGCATGTGTCAACTTATAATATAAGTTCATATAAGCCCATGCCTTTTCTTGTACTCGTCGAGGTTTAGGGCGCGCTTTGGGCCGGACTCTTTCACTCTAGCCGTAATTTGTTTTGGTTGGGATGTTACTGTTTCTGTTAATTGAGGACAATGAAATATATATTTAAAATATTTTAATTTAAATTGCATTTTTTATTAGGCATTGACAGCTATATATATGCCTTAGACAAATAAAAAACAAATGGGTAGCTTTTTATTTCCCGAGCTTTGAAGGTAATGTTTGACAGATAGTATGGATTTTATAATACTTTCTTAGGTTTACGCGAATATTTGACCATGATTGACCATGATTGCTGTAAAGCATTCGAAACGTCGGGAAACAAAAATCTAAATAAATCCGCTAAAAATCCGAAAAGATAGTTTTGTTTATAATATTTTAATTTAAATTTCGTTTTTGATTAGGAATAGATAGCTATTATTATGCCTTACATAAATAAAAGGGTAACTTTTAATTCCCGCGCTTTGAAGGTCACGTTTGACAGATAGTACGGACGGATATATAAAAACGATGTATTATATATATCTGCCTCGGTGGTGTAGTGGCTAGCATGTACGGCTGCACACCCGGAGGTCCTGGGTTCGAGTCCCGGGTCGGGCCATGTTTAGTTATTGAGTCTTTCTGTATAGTAAGTCTCAGTAACAGCCCGGAGTTGGGAAGTTGGCGGTGTTTCACCCCCGTGCCTCGGAGAGCACGTAAAGCCGTCGGTCCTGCGCCGACACTCTCACTGGTCGTGTCTCGTGTCGTCCCACCGGAGTATGAGAGTGACAGGAGTTAGTTATGTAACCCCAGCACAATAAAAAAAATATATAAAAAAAATATACCTCTTCTCCGCAGAATACGTCTTATTTCAAGGAGTAAAATTTTTCCAAGTGAAACCGAAACGTTTAAGGAAATATAAACTTCAGGTAGATACTTTCTCAAATATATATCTAATATTACAAATGTGTTACACAAACATACATGAACTATGAATACATGCGTTCTTATGTGTCATTTACATATAATAAACAACACGACTGGCACTTTATTTAATAATGATGTGTTCATACACATAAACTTTCGGGAATAAATTCATTAATCGACAGTGGAAACTAAACGCAAAAACAAACAGACAAAAAATGGTGACTTAATGAACTATTTAGTGTAACTATGCAGTGTTTAGCGACTTATTTCATTCAAGTGCATACAATGCCACCTTTTGGCAAACAACTCCAGACTACATATCTACTAAATTCCATCCAAATCCCTCCAGCCGTTATCGAGTGACAAACATACACACATAAACTGTCACATGTACAATAATATGTGAAAAGTAAATACATACTTGGTATTGGCAGATCTATTTCAATGTTGATGTCGAAGTCGTGGAGTGAATAGAGACTACTGTTGTCCGACGATGGCTTGTCCTTCCTACTCTTGTCTTCTTCAGTTTGTTGCTGAAATTATAATTTAAATAAGAACATGTTTACTGGATTGCGGCGAAGCCCAAAGGAGGGTTGTGTTTAATTCATTATTAAAATGTATATTCACGTACATTTAATTTCCACTACATACATAATACATATACATATATATTGAGTGATATCCCTATTTTTTATATTTACATAATTTAATTATATATCATAAAGCGTTTCACATGAGACACACACATTTTAATAGACATATAGCATTTAATAGTCTCTGAGTAAAGTTTTTGAGACATACGTACATGATCAAATCATAAGGGATTTGTTATTTACCACTAACAACCCATATATCTATAATGTTAATACACATATGTTATTAGATTATGTGTAGTAAATACATTATATTTGTTTATATTAAATTAAAAAAAAACGTAATAATTCTATAGTTAATTAAGAACGTTTGAATACAAATATTTAATAAATAAATAATAATAATAACTAATTCAACACTATTTATTTAGGAAACATTAAAAAAATCTCTCCACTAAAATGTAATCTCACCGTCAATCTCTCCCTCTCCTGCTTCTCTTTGTTCGCCTTCTCTTCTTCTTCTCTCATCTTCTGCGCTTCGGCGGCCGCGAGTTCATTTTTCATTAACTCCTAGCAAAAAAAAACAATTGCTAATTTCAGACTTTCATTTCATATTTTAAATTTAATTTAATCATTTATTTCAGGCAATATTTACAAAAAGATCCTAAATATGTAAACAGAGGCCCATAACATGTATACCTTAAAATTAACATATATATTAATTTTAAAACTTAAAATATTGACAGTGTTTTTTTTTACATGTTTTTAACAATGTACAAATTTATTATTGTTTGAAGTCACTATTGTGTACTTTAGTTTTTATTTAGTGTAAATCTAAATTAAAAATCGAGGCAAAGTCTCGAGCTGGGTCGAAAGTCGAAACGCCATCATAACATGAGACATCATGAGTACTGTGTCTCGTCACGAGGGTGAAATACCGCCAACTTACCAACTCCGGGCTGTTACTGAGAGTTTCTTGATTGAAATACTAATAACTAAACTTGGCTCGAATCCAGTCCCATCCCAACTCAAACCCTCCGGATGTGCAGCCGTACATGCTAGCCACTATACCACCGAGGCAGTTGAATATACATATATAGTCACAGATTATATACAGGGTCATTTTTAATTTACTGAAAACCTTTTGGGAATATACTATTTACATCATAACAACAACATCTGTAACAAGAAAAAATAATATTTCTTAAATTTTTATTTTCATACATAAATAAAAATATTTTTATTGCACCTTCTAAACGGTAAAGTTCTAGCATCTGGCCAAGTTTAAATGAGTAAGGGCCACTTCCTACACCCCTCTACCCCTCCCCTCCACCGGTCACGCACTTTCTTTTGTTAATTGTTGGATTATTACCGTTTAGAAGGAGCAATAAAAATATTTTTATTTTTGTAAAATTTAAGAAATATTATTATTTTTTCTTACAGATATTGTTGTTATGATGTATACAGTATATTCCCAAAAGGTTTTCAGTAAATTAAAAATGACTCTGTATAATCTATAACTATTATATTATATATTTTCGATAACTTATTCTGTCAGTGTTTATTAAGAAGAGAATTCATTACACCCTTCTTTTTAGAAATCGGTGTACATACAGTCAGTCAATCCACCTTTCCATTATATTATTTGTGATTTTTTGTAGCACTGTTGTGGTATGTCTGTTACTCCTTAACGCCATAACGGCTGAACAAATTTGGATGAAATTTAAGTATACGGATAGACTGAGCTGGCTTTTGTTAGGCACCAAAGGCTGTATCCGAACAATGAACGATGAAGTCGTTAGTAAAAAATAAAGAATCCATATTAATATCCATACTAATATTATAAATCTGAAAATATTTTTTTGTTTGATGATAGTTGGGGGGCTGGAGAGTCATACCTATATATATATATATATATATATATATATATATATATATATATATATATATTTTATATTAATACATTATAATCTATCTATTAATTGCTAGTGTATAATAACAAAATACCTGCGATCGGTTACCGCCATGCGACTTGAAGTTCATAACAGGTTTTGTATGGCGTCGAGTGAAGGGATCGTCCGTTTTCTTGCCTTTGTTTGCTTTGAACTGTAATAAAATATTGATAATATACAATATGTTGGGATATTAATACACAGCAACAGATACTTGATACGCTACACACATATAACTTTAAATACATTCATGTTATAAATATAAACACCCATGACTGGAGTACAAACATTCGTGCTCATCTTACAAATGAATGGCTCCAGCGGGACTCAAACCCGCAACCGATGGCACAGCAAGTAGGGTCACTACAAACTGAGCCAAACATGTCGTAATGTCGGAAGTACGTTTTAAGTTAAAATGGATATAGTATGCTATCCTTAAGAGATAGACATAAATTCGTTGGCTTACTATTACAAGGTTCTATGTTAATTTTAATGAAGTTTAGTAATTTTTACATAGAACTTCGTTATTTTGTTATCGTAAAAAAACAACATAGAACTATGTAAAATTGAATATTTTGTAGTTAAAGAGCCGCTAACTAGTGGTTTGTTTTTGCAAAACTGTAACTAATGACACATAGAACCTTGTAGCATTAATAACTAAATAAGTACTAAAATTGTAACGTAGAACCTTGTAATCGTGAGCCAACGAATTATGCCATCGCGGACTTTTCTGTAGACCTATATAATATACACAATTCCACCATACATTATTTTGTTACATCTCAAACGATTTAGGAAGGGTTTTTGATGAAAGCTCCCAGATGGCTTATTTTTTTCGACATCTCCAACAAATATCGTTATACGAGTATTTTAGCCGATGTATACAAAAACTTAACAAATTATATACTAAGACCTTCCTCTTGAATCACTCTGTATATAAAAAAAAAACAAATCGCATCAAAATCCGTTGCGTAGTATTAAGTATAAATAGGGACAGACAGCGGAAAGATACTTTGTTTTATACTATGTAGTGATTATGTGATCTGTGACCAATACCGACCTCCTCCATGATGGCCTTCTCTGCAGTCTCAACGTTGAGCTTCCTGTTCCTGTTGTTGATGTAGGAGATGCTCTGTATGGAGGAAGTGCGCGTCTTGTCCAGAGCGCTCGCCCTCTCTTCTAGCTCTTGGAGTTTTGCGTTTAGATCTGCCACTAGTTCTTCGTCACCGCTGAAATTGTTGGATTAGTGTTAATTATGCGAAATTATGTGTGTTTGTCAGTGGCAAAGGGTCCATACAAGACGTCTTACCTTAAAATGTATTTTGCTATAATTTTACATACATTTAATTTTTTTAATTATAAATGATATATATATATATATATATATTTATTTCTTTTTGCATTAATACATATATTATATGAAAATTGTTTATCAATGTTTCTTTTGTGTTTTTTTTGGAACGGCTTATCCTTGCTAAAATTTCTCCCTTCGCCACTGGTGTTTGTTTGTTATTGAAGGGATTCGATTCCATTTTCTTGTTGTAAATGGTACATTCATAAAAATATTAAAAAAAATCGGAAAAAAGACCAGTCAAACCTCTCCAAACCTCGTTAAACACCTACCGTAATTGCGCAACATCTCTCTCCTTCATGAGCTGTGTTTTTTTCATGGCGTAATTCGTTGGATGTGATCTAAACCTTTCTTTCTCCGCTACTATTTTTTCTATATCTTCCTCCTATAAGAGAAAATATTGTTTATAGTATATATTCACATGTCCATGTATTCAGCCCTTTTTATCGCCCCACTGCTTGGCACGGGCTTCCCTTTAATACGAGGGGGATCAGGCCATAGTCCACCACGCTGGCCAAGTGCGGGCGGACTGAATATGTCTTTCGAGAACTTGCTAAGTTCTCTCAGACATGCAGGTTTCGTCACGAAGTTTTCCTTCACCGTAAGACAAGTGGTAATCATGTTGGAAATTATTGGCACATGGGAATATCAATGCGAGACCCGGGATATGAACCCGCTGCATTCGGTTTCTCAAGCGAGCGCGTTACCATTGGACTACCACTGCCTTTTTCTATATTCATATTAAGCATTATAAATTTAATTCAATTCTCTTGTTACTGGCATCAAAGCGTGCCAGTTGAGTACAGATTACTTCGCCAATGTCAAATAGAATGGATAAATTTATTTAATGTAATATTTAATTACTATATCAATGTCAATAGATTTTTTTCAAGCTTTTTTTTTATGAAGAAATATTTTGTCATGTTTATCAGATAAAAATGAAAGAATAATATAATTAAAAACAAAAATCTAATGCTTGATAAAACCCTAAGATTCAAACTTAATCGAGTAACGATCGATTTTCGACCACGTAGCAGTCACTAATCAGTATCAAAGAAATAATTATAATTCAAATTATAATTAAAATAATTATAATTCGTAAAAGACCATATCCACCTAATTTTAATATAATAGCAGCTAAAATTATAGAACCAGAAATAGGAGCTTCAACATGAGCTTTTGGTAATCATAAATGAACAAAATATATAGGTATTTTTATACTTTCTTATAATTACGCGAATATTTAACATTTAAAATAAAACTTCTCGGATCGAATCTTTTTGGATTTATTCGTGGATTTCTTTTTTCATTCGCGATGTTTCCAATGTTTTACAGTTTATAAAAACCATGGTCACGGGAAAAAAACTCAAAAAGAAAGTTTTATTTAAATTGTCAAAGAAACAATTGATTATATCGCAATACCTTAAATTCATACATGAGAGCATCTTTAATTTCGTTTATTTTATTCCTAACAAAGTCCATGGTGGGGGGTTTTTTGTTCGCATCTTTGATTGCTTTATGCCACTTTTGAAATTCATTATCTGTGAATTCCTGTAAGAAAAAAATATTATGTTATTAAATATGTACAAACATACATTTTTACATATTCTATCACTACACATACTCCCAATACAATATTAAAATCTATTCAAAAATTGCTCAGCTGTTGTCTAATGATGTACATACATACAAGCCACATGAAAATTATTTATAATATTAATATTATTTAAAATATATTCTACTAGTGATTTAGGTACCCTAGGTGCGTTTTATATGATAGATATATGATTGATGTATCTCTAAAGGTTTAACCAACGTTAGCCATGGAATCGTACAAAAACAGATTTTTCGACAAAACACTGTCTAGGCTTAGTCAATTTGTACAAAATATTTACAAATTATATACATAAACCTTCATCGTTTATCGCTCTTTCTATTAGTGAAAACCGTATCAAAATCCGTTGCGTGGTTTAGAAGAAGTAAGCGAACAAACAGATGAAGAGAGCGACTTTGCTTTATGCTTTATACTATGTGTATAGATTTAAATAGGACAAGAGAAAAGTGGAATGGATAAATATAAATAACGTTATATGTTTGTTGTTTACCTGATTACTCACGAACTCCAGTCTGAAAACTCTATCCTGTGTCCCGTGCCTTAGTTTAAACCCTTTATTAGTCCGGGTGTTGCCTAAATTATATACTTTTGCGGTTTCATATACATCTATTATTTCAGCTACCTAAGGGAAAAAACACAATGACAATTAATGAAAACTAGTAAGCAGTATAAGATTATGGTAAGAGATTCTATATACATACATATATATAGAATATAATAGATTGATTCCCCATACAAATTTTTTTGCCCATTTTCACCCTCTTAAAGGATGATTTCCGGAACAAAAACTACATATAGATATAAATGGAATACTATTTCAGACTTCCGAATCAATTTTGGCGACACGTTTGCCTCAGTTTGTAGTTACCTCACTTGCCGTGCCAGCGGTCACGGGTTCGAGTCCCGTTGGGGGCATTCATTTATGTGATAAGCACAAATGTTTGTACACCAGTCATGGGTGTTTATATTCATTATAATATGTATATTGTATTTAAATCTATAACACAAGCCTCGTAACTTACCGTGGAACTAGATGGTCCTGTGTGTTAATACTTATCACAACATATTTATTTTATTTATTTAATGGTTATCTAACAATATTATGTAATGTATGTATATAACTGACCCTATACACGGGATTGCCATTATTGTTGCCGATGCCGATACGCACGAAGCAGCCCTGTACCGCGCGAGCGAAGAAAGGCAAGTGCACTAGTCTTTCTAATTTGAACCTGTAACAATATACATGTATCTTATTATTGCTTATATAACCTGTTATACGATAACAAATATAGCGTACTAGCGACTCACCAATTTTATTGGCGATTTTAACGGTTATTATGGAATAGATAGAAGAAAAGTAGGTAAGTAATAAAAAAAACTTTAATCATCCCCTGTTTTACCCTGATTGGTCATAAACACCGAAATATTCTTTATTTCTTACCAAAATTATCAAATGTAATTATTATTTTTTTACTCAAGAAATAATTTATTATCAATACAAACTATCACCCCTCTTTACACTCCCTTAAGGTATGATTTCCGGGATAAAAACTATCCTATGTCCTTCACAGGGTCTCAAACTATCTCCATAGTAAATTTCATCTAAATCGGTTCAGTAGATCCAGAGATTACACCGTACAACGTCAAAAACTACTTTTTATCACGGAAATCATCATAAGGGGATGGATGAAAGTGGGGATGAAAGTTTATAGTCCTCACATAAAACAAACAGAATACCTGCTCAATCTCAGCTTATTGATCTGATCCCTGGTATCTGCGTACTTCACCTCGACCTCCTCGCGCTCGCGCCGCCTCTCCTTCTCCTGCTCCTCCGCCTCCGACGACGACGAGCTGCTCGAGCTTCGGCGACCTGACATACGGATAGACATTCACATTTATATTAATAACCTAGTGGGATTCAATAAATAATACATATTGCTTTATTTAATTATAATACTTATTAAAAAAATAAAAATGTTTAGAACAAAAAAACTTGAAAAAAAAAACCCACTTCCAGGTATTAAAATGTAAAAAATAACTAAACGGGGGTTTTCATTTAGAATAGATAGCTAATCAGATATTTTTCGAAGTCGGTGCCAGCCGACAATATTTTAAGATATGAATATCTAATAGGTAAATATGTATTTTACGAATTGAAATATATTAGATTTGCTTTGCATCGGCTTCCCTTCGAAACAAAAAAAATCCAAATCGGTTCAGGCGTCGAGTAATCGGTGAACATACATAAAAAAGATTTCGACGAATTGAAAACCTCCTCCTTTTTGAAAGTCGGTTAAAAATCAACAAATATTGGTAAGGTACTTTGGTGCTATTTTTGAAAACATTTTATAAAATTGTGGGTAGGCACTGTCTGTAAAAAGTAGCCCGAGAGCTCGTGACGAATTTTGGGAAGGTTCCCAAAATTTGTCGCCAGCTCTCGGAATAAAGTATATAACGCCTTTGAGACGTCTAAAACCTTGTCTTTTCCGTGATCGATTGCTGTAAAGCATTCGAAACGTCGGTAACCAAAAATCAAAATAAATCCGCGAAATAATCCGAAAAGATAGTTTTATTTAAAAGCTAGAGGAATTTCTACAATCTGACAGACAGACAATAATTTATACTATGTATGTATATACTAGCCGTCACCTACCCGCAGTGCTGGGCGTACGTAAATGTTTTTTTAGTCTTCAGATACCTTAATGAATACATATTTCGCTTATTAATTAAAATTGAATAAAAAAATGTAACATCTTTTATTTTTATTGGCGGGAAAAAATATGTATGAAGAGAAAAGCGCACGTAAATCTAAGAAAGTATATATTACCTTGTGATTTATTATCTTCAGAATCAGATCCGGAGTCGTCAGAGTATATGTCGGAAGCCTTTAACTTGACGCTCTGTTTGCTCGTGCCGCCTATCAGTTCCGCGTCTGCGTCCTGCAAATATTATTTTTGTTATAATTAAAAGAGGTATTACATATTCTTACTAGCAACTCACCCTCGTTTCCCTCGGGATCGTCCCTAGTGAAAAACAAAAACAAATATATCCCACGGGAACCGTACATTGTTGTATGTACTATTCCAGTAAAGATACATATATAAAAGGGATATATAAGCACACGACTCTCATCGTCCTTCTTGCTCTGCTTCCGCTGATCACTCGAGATATTGTATACACATACAATATCATTTCTTTGGTTTATTTGAATTTGTAGCTAAATGTACCAGGCGATAATAACTACACAGAAAGTACCATATCACATAGACGCCCAATAGATATAATATCAGAAACAAGTACAAGAAAAAAAATGGGTGCGTGTAACTTTTACGCGCGGTTGAAGTAAAACTTCTTTGGCAAATATCTCAATTAAAATAAAACAAATCAATAATTTAATAATGAATATTAGGCATATTACAATAATATATTTATAGAATATCATATACGGAAAGAATATAATATTATATTTTTGTCACGCAATAACAACGGTTACCATAGCAACAATTAATTATACATTCTATTTCATTCTCTCGTCGGCTTAAGTCTATATATGTATGTGTTTGTCTCTTTTCAGTGTCGCATTTCATAATCACAACTTTTCTAAAGAAGTTTCATATACGCCCAATACATATATCAGACACAACTACCAAAAAAAAAACGAAAAAATGAAAAAAAAACAATAAAAAGTATATATTATGGACATAATCACTAACATCGTCCTCCTTGCCCTGCTCCTGCCGCCGGCGCTGCTTGACCTCGACGCGCGTGGCGCGAGCGTCGCGCTGCGCGCGCAGCGCCGCCATCGCGTTCACGCGCGACTCGTCCACGTTGCGCTTGCGCTCCGTCTTGGCGCCGAACAGCGGGGACGCCGACCGCTCCGTGTCACGCTCTGTTGCTTCAAATAGATACGTAGGGACTTTAACACACAGCACTATCAAGTTCCACGGTAAGCTACGAATCTCGTGTTATAGATACCGGATAAATAATACACTACACATATACCTTTAAGTTAGACTTGCAACGAATAGTATATTCGGAAATACGCCGAATATCGATTATTCGGTGGGCTTCGAATAGCCGAATATTAGGCAAAAGTATTCGGTCAGCGCGTGGCGGAAAAACTTGTATCTACGTATTTGTTCCTTGTTTGGCGCCAGGAAGTAGGATTTATTCACCGCGTCTTTTCTCTAAATCTGGGATTGTCTAGGAGTAAACTACTGCCGGAAAATGCAGACAAATTAATCTTTCTGCTTCAGAATCTTCCATTTCTAAATTTAAATTATGAAAATGCAAGTGCATAGATATTTATTTGATAGTTTTTTTTATTAATTTTTGTAATAAAGAAGGTGATTATGTATCTATGACTACTTTAATGATTATAAGAAAAATATATTATTATAAAATAAATCAATATTTTCATTTTACCAACAGGGAATATGCATGATTTTTTTTTGTTTTTTATATAATAATTTACATCGTAATATAATTATAAAAAAAACAATAAATCCAGTTCCAAAAACTAAAATTTAGTATATTTTTTTTAAATATCATACTGTTCCGGATACTTTATACGCTCGCCATTACGCGGGCTTGGCGTGACGTCACAGTAAGATATACACAGAAATTACGACTCAATTTGTAAGCGACAAAATCGCTAATCGCTCTGTTATGATATACTCTGTCGTCATATTCGGTCTGACCAATAGCGTTGCGATTAAACTACATTAATTTCCCGCCTGTTTTTTGCACTTTTTAATAATTATTTTCGTAATCAAAAAGAAATTACATTAAAAATTATTAATACAGCTTAATTCAAAAGCAATAAAAATTAAAAAAAAAATATTTCAACTTTCTTTTAATCACACACCTATTCACTATTACATGTATTCGGTATTCGGCCGAATAGTATCTAGATATTCGGTATTCGGCCGAATAGCATAAAAGTAGCCAAATATTCGTTGCAAGTCTACTTTAAGAGTATACATCTCATAAATATAACATTCATGACTGGAGTACAAACATTAGTGCTGATCACACAAATGAATACCCCCAGCGGGACTCGAACCCGCGACCGCTGGCACAGCAAATAGGGTCACTACAAACTGAGCCAAACGTGTCGTCGGATCATCTATACAATTAAATACGATATAGTCGTGCATCCGTACGTACATGTTAGCCACTAGACAACCAAGTCACACTCGCTTTAGAAATTGCATCAAGCGGGTTCAAACGTTAGTCTTATAACTCGGTAAGATTTTAGTGTATGAATAATATTTTCAACATTATTATGACTTACTCGAAAATCGAACTTTCTAGCATTTTATATTATAGCAATTTAACTCAGTTAAAGTATACTTCAATGGGATAAAATATTTGTAAGAAAATCAAACTTAGTATTTGTAAAAATATAAAATAAATTAATTTACAAACATGTATACAAAGGATTAGAGACTGAAAAATGTAAAAACTAAAAAATATTCTATATTACCTGTATCTTTAGGATCGTCGTTTATTTCACCGGGACTCTGTGGGGGTTTCTCTTTCTCTTTCTCAGGCTCTTTAGGTTCTTCTTTCTCCGATTCTACACCAAAAATGGTAACTTATATATTTCATTCATATCATCAAATAACAACGGTTACCATGGCAACCTAATGCAAGCGTTATGAGCATGACGATATATCATGACGCGGCCTTATAATTTTACTCTCAAAAGAAGTATCACTTCAATGTATTATATCTCACTAGCGGGTGAGATATAATTTATTGAAGTGGGGTGGGTGGGTAGTCGAGGGTGAGTAACCTCGCTTCGCTTGGGTTCGTCATCTCTAGGTTGATTCCCCATACAAACTATCATCCCCATTTTCACCTTCTTAAGGGATGATTTCCGGAATAAAAAGTATTCTATGTCCTTCTCCGGGTCTCAAACTATTTTCTTACCAAATTTCATCTAAATCAGTTCAGTAGATACAGAGATTGCCCCCTACAACGTCACAAACTTTACCTCTTTATAATATTATTAGTATAATATCTCTGATCGTGCGACTGTTTTTGTTTTAAATCATTTTTTGTATTTCTAATTTATTTAAAGCTCAATAAGCAAGAAGGAGCTTATCTTCTCGACTCTACAAAAAGTGAAACCACTGCTTAACTTGCATACATAATGATTTGCATTATTTAATTAATTTACAAAGAATTGACATAATAGCTTGTAAGAACACTAAAACCACATTAGGTACTTCAAGTCTGATATCGAACCCACTCTCTACATCCCTAATTTCTCCTTCTCTTCACTCTTTATTACTAAGAATTAAATATATAAACCCTAATAAATACGCTTAAACTTGTTTCTATCTCCTTCTTATTCTTTCTGGCTTATTTTTTTAACTAAATGTACCAAGCAATCATAACCATACAAAAGTAAGTAGATGACATCATATACACACTCGATACACAACATGTCTCAGACACAAATATCAAGACCTCATACAACTAAAGATATATTACAGTATATTCCACTAGCAGGGGGCTATATAACCAGAGGAGATACACCAAACTTAACTCACCACATCTCTCTCTTCTCTCCTCCTCGTTCTTTGCTTCTCTCTGTGCTCTCTGAGCTCTCTGAGCACGTTGATCACGTCGCCGCCTTCTCGCATCACGTCGACGTGCTAGCTCGCCGGGGGAAGCCCCGCGTTCAGCCGCCGAACGACGTGCTAGCCGGAGTTTGCGTTCTATTTCCCATCTGTTTGTTAATATTGATAGAATAAGATGAATAATTACTACTATTGGTAATTCTGTGAACAGTAGACCTCGCGAGGAAAAACTTTTTTTAATTAAACATTAATATACCACTTAAGTTATATGAGCAATTTACTGCATTTTGAGGAGCTATTTTGTTCATCACGTGAAGATTCTCATCAGAAAATCTTAAATTTTTTCTAAGGTCAACTTAAAGTTATTACCTTTCGAATAAAAAAACCGACACACCCACGCTACACGCGGGTTCGTCCCTAGGTCCCGCGTTTTAACGGTTAATATGGAATAGGTTAGACTATATGTTACATATGCATATGTAGCTATGGTAAGTTATTGTAAGTTGGATTATAACGTGTTTTCCCATCGGAGTGCGATGATCTCCCGCGGTAAAATGTAACTTATGTCATTCTCCAGCCCTCCGACTATCTCCACACGAAAAATCACGCCAATCCGTCACTCTGTTTCGACGTGATTTGACGTGTTGACATTTGGACATTTAAAATATTAAGTGTGGATTATCAAGCAGAGAGGTAAAACAACTGCCTACGATTGTGTCTGTATCGGTATATACATAGCTTTCGTTCCTTTTACAGGAAAGAAATTGTTTGGTCTATTTTTAAATTAGTTTACATTTCAGCCTGAGACAAAGTCTATACTGCGTTAGAGATAAACTAACGAATACATTGTTTCATAATTAAAAATATCTATATTGAAATTAAGTGAATTTCATAGGGAAGTCCCTGTGCGATGCACAATTAGTCTAAGCCCCTAGTTTATACCTTTAACCTATTTGATTACTGTTAAAGTGACTGAAGTCAATGCACTTTTTATGTGATAATGTAACAACCATAGAACTAGCTCTGAACAGAGAAGAATTTATGAGATAGACTGCCGACCTTCAGTAATGGAGAGGCACTTGAAGAAGAAGAATATATCCAACTCACCTAGTCTTCATCAAATCTCGCCTTTCTATACGTTTAAATATTTCCTGTTCACGTTCCTTCTCGGACATGGCGGCCAATCTCGCTCTATCTTCCTCATCGCCCATCAAATTTTCATCGTAACTGTAATAAAAAAACTTAAATTATTTCGATATTAATCAATGTATTCGGCCCTTTATTAAAGTCACACTGCTGGGTATAGATCTCCGAATAAGGGGGGATCAGGCACTAGTCCACTAGGCTGGCCAAGTGGGGATTGGCGGACTGCACACGTCTTTCGAAAACTTGTAAAGTGCTCTTAGACATGCAGGTTTCCTTGAAAGTTTTCCTTCACCGTAAGAAAAGTGGTAATCATGTATGATTCTCACATAAAAATATCAGAGGTGTGAGATCCGGGATTTGAACCCGCTTCAGTCGTTTGTGGGGTCATAAGCTGAAATATACATATAATAAAACAGCAACTTAGGAAAATCTGACCACCAGGCGCGGATCTAATTTTCTATTTGGGGGGGTAAGGCTTTAATACTTTAGCAGGTATATAAGGAACAAAACACGTTGAAAAATAGTTGTTGTGACATCTTATCGAAAAATATTCTTTATATAAATTTCATCAAAATCTGTCCAGTGGTTTTCTCGTGATGCGGTAACAGACAGACAGTCAGAGAAAAATTCTAAAAACTATAGATTCGGCCTCTGTATCGATAATAATGTCTATTTCAATTAGATTTTCAAAAAAAGGTTTAATGTACAGATTCGACTTAGTTACAATTTTATTATAATTCGTTGGCTCCTTATTACAAGGTTCTATGTTACAGTTTTAGTATTTATTTAGTTATTAATGCTGCAAGGTTCTATGTGTCATTAGCTACAGTTTTGCAGAAACAAACCACTAGATAGCGGCACTATAACTACAAAATATTCAATTTTACATTGTTCTGTGTTGTTTTTTTATACGGTAACAAAATAACGAAGTTCTATGTAAAAATTACTAAACTTCATTCAAATTAACATAGAACCTTATAATAGTGAGCCAACGATTATGTATATAGATTTGTGCAAAAACGATATTTATGAAACCAGGGGAATATAATCTTCAAAATATATATAATAACCATTTTTTTTAAATCGAAATGTTTATCCGTTTATTCCTTCCTTTCTTAGACTTCAAACTTCTCTAAAAAGTATATTCGACTTTGGGGGGGGGGGGGGTCATGACCCCCATGACCCCTGGATTCGCGCTTGGTCAGCTTAACTGTTAGTTAGCTTAACTGTCGGTTAGCCTAACTGTCAGTTAGCTTTACTGTCAGTTACCTATACTGTCGGTTAGCGTAACTGTCAGTTAGCTTAACCGTTAATTAGCTTAACTGTTAGTTATTTGACATGTTAGTCAAAACAAAATTTATAGTTTGATTAAAATTTATTTTAAAATATATCCGAAAATAAAATTAAACTTTAAGTAATAGTATAAAAAAATGTTTTAAAAGACAACAAAATCGAAATTGCATCATATTACAAGACTTCCGCGATAAATAATAGCATTCCCAAGGAGGGTTGACGTCAGGCAGGCGGCCGGTCGTAAAACTTTTGCCAAATCCTATCAGCAGTACAGAAGATGTACTGCGCCGACCCCAAGTGATTGGGAAATGGGCAGGGAGAAGAAGAAGTGAGCGATAGGGCAAATTTTAATTCACTCAAATATTAAAAAAAAACGCAAATTATAAAAGAAACCGTATCAAAAGTCGCTCAGGCGTTCTACTGCAGATAAACGTACATGCAAACAGACACTTGTGCGCGATTTTTTTTATATATAATGATTAATGAATAAGATTATATACACGTGGATGTATTATGTATATAGATTATACATTAAATACTAAATATAATAACAATGAAAAATTAATTAAATGCTCTTATTTAATATAAGTATTTCTTACCCATCATCAAACTCTTCTTCTGAATCTATCGAATCATTGTCCGATGAATGTGACGATACTTCACCTAAAACGATAATATTATATTGTATAGTACTGACTTCTGTCGGTACAACAAAAGAAAAGTTCCAATTGAAAATGGCATAACCGTTTCCACGTGTTATGTACACAAATATAAGGACAAAATCTTACTACTATATAAATGCGAAAGTTTGGATGGATTTATTCAATCACGTTTATATTTAAAAATAACAATCTAATAGAAAATCTTGAGATGTGCAAATAAAACAATATTAATTTTTATATATATACTACCGGCTCACGCTCGCTTCGCTCGGTTTCGTCGCTAGTAAAAATAAAGACATATCTATCCCACGGGAACCATACAATTTTCCGAGATAAATAGCCTATGTGCTATTCCAGACTATAATCTATCTCAGTGCCAAATTTCGTCCAGGTCCGTTCAGCCGTTCTGACGTGATTGAATAAAAACATCCATTCAAACTTTCGCATTCATTTAGTAGTAAGAAGTAAGATGAAATCTGTCTGAAATAATTTTAAAACTATTCAATTAACAAGGTGATGGAGCCAGAAGGTAATCTAGTTTGAGTTCTTAGGATAATTTAGGATAATTTTTAGCATTTCATTACGATTAGCCAAAATATGCGTTTTGATATAATATAGAGCACATACCTTCTTCTGGTTCACTATAAGTATCTTTTTTCTTTCCCGATCCCGCGCTATCTGTACTTTTTCTGACCTCACTTCTTTTTGGTTCTGGTTTTTTTCTTTCTTCTGAATGATCGGACGAACTTTTCCTACTTGCTTTGGCCGGTTCTTCTTTTTTGGAAACATCACTTTTTGCATCACTGTACGGTGATTCGGAACCTGACGACGATGATGATTTGTCTGAAAAAATAATTGGTTGCTTTAACTTAAACTAATATATGGTTTCTTATGGTTACTTGATATATCTACGCAGTAAAAAACTTGTGCATTATTTTTTTAATACATCGCGTTTCACCTTTATTACCTGAAACACACGTTTATAACCTAATTCAGGTTGGTTCCAAATTCATGTTCATCATTTACCTAATTTTAATTGACTTAATTTATGATTTAAGGATTTATTTAAGTATATCCCACAGGAACCGTACATTTTCCGGGATAAGAAGTAACCTATGTACTATTCCAAACTATAATCTGTGCCAAATTCCATCCAGATAAATTCAGTCGTTTTGGCGTGACTTAGTAACAAACATCCATCCATCCAAACTTTCGTATTTATAATATTACTAGCAGACACGGTCACTCGCTGTGGCACATATATATATATAAATTAAAATCGTTAATTTTGTAATAATAAAGGGAATAATCGAGATAAAAACTATCCTATCTTTTAAGTTGGAACAAATCATACATTTTGAAAAAAAAAAAAACGGTAAGACCGGATAAGTGGTTTCGGAGTTCATACCAAAACAAAATTGTGGCACAGGAATTTTATGTATTAAAATAATATTAATGGGATGATTCTATAGAGACAGTGAATCATTCATTATTTGTATAGGTCAAAAGAGTTCAGCTCAATCATACTACTACATATTAAGTTCATTCTACAATAATGAATAAACCAGTTTTGATTTTGAAACTAATTTCAAACAACAACATTAAAAGTACCTAATTTAATTACAATTATATATTTACAATGAAAAACAAATTACTTTTCTTTTAAAAATTCTGTTTTTTCTTATTCTAATTCTAATAATGGTGTTACAGAGCCTATGCTCTAAGCCTTAAGAGTTAAAAATTCTGCAATTTTATTCCATTACTAGCGACTTACCCTCGCTTTGCTTGAGTGCGTCCCTAAGTATGATTTTGTTTACAATTTCATGGGTTTTATTTTTTTACACCCAACCCTGACCCTGACTTTATAAAAAAATACCTTATTTTCCTGCTTATACCATCAGGCTATCTGCCAGTGACAGTCCTGTCAAAATAGATCCAGTCGTTTCGCAGATTAGCCGGAACATTAGCCACATTTTAAACTGTGAAACATGAATATTGACCTTAATAATATGACTAAACATTCTATGAAAAAATAAGCTTACCATTTTTCTTATCATCATTATCCCAATCAGATTCACTATCGGAAGACTTGCTTTTGGATTTAGTTGGTGGTGGGGAATCCCCTGGCTTTTTCTTCTTCTTTGCTAAGTTCAAAAATTGCTGAAATACAAATGTGTACAATAATCATGAGTCTTTCTAACAATTTCACTAATTGAACTGTGTTATTAAGAAAATTTTAATATACCTACAAAAACCTTTCATACACATACTTATATAATATAATTAATGTTTTTATAATAACTAAAATAAATAAGAATACTTGAAATTAAAACATATTCTGAAGATGCCTTTATAAATAGGAAAGCAATTATACTATTAAAATATTAATTAGATAATTTTTTGTGTCATACATTTCTTTACAGGATTCAAGTGCTTTAAACTATAGTATTGAAAAATTAGATAATAATTCAGTATCTCAGTAGATAATTTTATATACTATGTTTACTACATTAATATATTTTATATAATTTATTCATTTTACACATACAATTATTTTTTAATTTTTAATGAATAAACACAATAAAAATAAAAATATAAGCATTATTTTTTCAAATTTCTAGAAATGTGTTATACAATTTTCTAACAAATGAAATAAAGAATTTAAAAGTAACTAACTTTCATCTCCTATATCCAAATATTATATAAGCAACTTTTCTAGTCATAAAACATATTATATATATAATTAACAACTAGGAAATAAAAATTATATTCTAAATTTTTATATATCGCTATCAATGTCTACCCTTTTAAAGGTTATGGGACATTTTTTGTCCGTTTTTCATGAGTCATGCCAAAAGAAGCCATTGTAAACGAAACTTTTAAAGAAAACATCGTGTATTTAAGATGAAACATATTGTAAGTTTTCTAGATATAACTGTACTTCTTTTTTAGGGTCATAGTCACTATTGCGCATTGGGCGTAATTAGATCCTTCGAGCATTGATCTTGGCCTGAATACGCAAACAAAATAGTAGAGGAATGTCGAAAATGCTAAGATCTACAAAAGTATAACCTAGGTCTTAAGTGTTTATATAAACTTACCGAATCTAAATCTGAACATTCGCTGCTAGAATCTGAATCTATAAGAGGTTTATTTTTCCTTTTGGCCATTTTGATGCACTTTTAACTACGTATTGAAATACGTTACGAGTACGAGATTTTTCTTTACGTTACGAAGTCGCCCGTCAATTACAATTTACAACCAACTATAATAAATGTTGCCAAGTGATCTCAACATATAGTCCTGGAAAACGGAATTTATTTTGATTTTTACCTGTTTTTTTTTATTTAAATCTTTTAATAAATAAATCCATTTTTTTTATTTATTGAACAAAAAACAGTAACGAATAACATAACTCTGTTTTATTCCTATTTATTGTAAATGCACAAAATCTTTATAAATAATTATGTCTATTTAATTAAAAAATATGCTTTTACATAGTTTACAAAATTAAGCATACTATTTCGATTGTATTAAATTATTTTTGTATACTAAAGATAACTTTCTACAAAAGTTTTTTTAAACTACAATATAAAATACTTGAGTTCCACAGTTTTGGGTTATGCGCTTTAAGGCTAGCAACACTTTTATTGCAGATGCTATGTCTAATTACATTCATTCGGATACATACATTCAAAAAACGTTTGTCAATAATAACAACTTTATAAAATAAAACTATAACAATTCTTTTTTCTGGTTTTTAAAGCACGTGACTTAAATATATGGCAAATTAATTTAATTGATTACTTAAATTATATAAATTAACATATTATTATATAAATAACAGTAATTTTTTAATATTTTATTCATTGATAAGTATCCGATTTTTTATATTTTGATATAGATACATATAGAATATAGCCGACATTATTCAAACAATTTTGAGTTTTATTTTAGGGTTGTAGAGTACATATTTTCTGTAATATACATTTACCTAGAGGCCTCTTCAATCAAGTTACCCCCCAACCCAATTTTCGACGTATTTACTATATCGTGTTGTGACAGTGTGAAATTTTTAGGCTTTATTAATACTAAAAGCATATTTAATTAACGTGATCTATAATCGATTTTGCTTATTACTTTACTTGTAAACAAACTGTTTGTACTATTTGTACAAAAAATCTACTGACCTTAGACAAAAACAGTTAAAGAAAACATTGTAACGGGTCTCCGTTACATTTACTCTCAAAACATTATTATGCCTCATGATTTGAAAGGACTGGGTGTAAGGAAAGCGATAATGGTAAGTAATTTTCAATAAAACCTAATGGAACATGAAGGTTTATCGTTTTGTAGTGTTTTGTAATGTTTACTAAAATTTCATTCGAGCTTTTCCATTTTAATTATGATCTAAGAATAAACCTCATTGATTTTATATTTCCAAAAATAATGTAAAATTAAATGTTTAAAAAATTACTACCAACTAAAAATATCTACATATATATTGTTTATTTATCTATATGTGTATATCGGATTATACATAATATATAGGCAATAATTGTAGTGCACTTTTAATTAAACATTAAAAAAAGCAAAAAATGCAGGTTAAACATTTGTTGTGATCATTTGGCAGAAATGCCTTGATAAAGAATTTTAATATACATACAAATAATAGACCATCTCTCAAGTAATATATCTTTTTTTTCTATTTAGGCTCCCTTGTCTCCCACTCCTTGTGCAGAAATCAGTGATGATGAACTGGTTTCCATTTCTGTAAGGGATTTAAACAGACAACTTAAAATGAGAGGACTCACTAGAGACCAAATTGTTCGGTAAGACACTGAAATTATTTTTTTTAAATATAGTAATTCCTCTATCACTTATTAATTATTGAAATCGTTTTTTACATTATAGACAAACAAGGTACTTGTGGTACTTTCAGTCTTGTAAACAAAGTATATACATATGATATCATTTAAATATTTACAGGATGAAACAAAGGAGACGGACTTTAAAGAATAGAGGATATGCAGCCTCGTGTCGAATCAAACGAATAGAGCAGAAGGATGAATTGGAAACAGAAAAAAGTCAGGTGAGACTACTTATTTATCTATTATATTTAAATTAACAGCTAATTGATATTATACAGATATATTGTACAGTTAACAGTACTTTATAAATGAATTTTTAAAAGTCAGCTAACAATATATACTAATATTGTAGAGGCAGAGTTTGTTTGTTTGTTTGAACGCACTAATCTCAGGATATGATATATATAGGCTATAATATATCATAATATTAAATAAATAGTCTATCTATTCCTTATGAATAGTTAAAATGTACCCAGGGACGAACCCAAGTGGTAATCACGTAGGAAATGATTCATACATGAAGCTATCAGCGGTGCAAGACCTGGGACTTGAACCTGCTTCACCAGTTTTTCCAAGCGAGTTGCATCACCATGGGACTACCACTGCAAATACATACATACATAAAATTTCACATACAGCAATAACACAATTATTAGTATCGTTTTCAGGAATGGCACGATATGGAGGCTATGCAAGAAGAAAACACAAGGATTCGAGATGAAATTGAAGCTTTGAGAAGTAAATATGATGCGTTAAAACGTTTCGCTCACATGAAGAGTATTCCTTTACCCGCAGAGCTTGAAATGTTGCCATGAAATCTTATTTTAAAAATATATTAGTAATTGTATTAGTTTTTTATTTAATGTTAATTAAGTATATTATAGTGTGTTAAGTTCATATTTTCTAAATATAAATTAAGTTGCTACATAGAATTACTAGGTAATTTTAGTTTTCAAAAAACCATCATAAAACCATTATATGGAAGAGAAATAATAATAAATATTTTTTAATTAAAATATACTTAAATTAATCAAAATCAACTTCATGTTACTCTATCTGGAGAGGTTTCTTGTAATTTATTTTGAGGTATGTTACCATTTAATAAAAAAATAATCACGATAATCGATAAACAAAAATTAGTGAATATAAATTAACTAACTCTATTTTGAAGTAGTACACTAAAGATATGTTTGGAAATAATTACTAAATTATGTACATGAAATTTGCCATTTCTATTGAAACATACTAAAAATCCTATGTATTATTTTATACATTTTTTTTATAAAGCACTTTGAGCTGTACAGAAGTATTATATAAGTTTGGAAAATGGTTATTTTCAACAAAATGTTGTATACATTTTTATATTTCTTATAATACTCTAAATATTTGCTTATAATAATGAATTCTAATGTACCTATAATGACGTCACAATCCCGTCTAAACCATTAAATTTTAACTAAATTATTTTAAGAAAATATATGACTAATTACAAGTTTTTTTTATTGAACATATATTCCCTCTTCTTTCCTCTTCATTTTGGTAATTAAAATCGGTATATTTAAAAATAATGATTTTGATTTTTTTACATATAATTTAAAAACGCCAGAAGGCCCTTGATGCTATAACAAATACTATTAGTACTAATGTAGGTACCATAATACCAAAGATGACCCAAGAGATACCCATCCCATATAAAGAGAGTGTATTTAGCCCTTTTTAACGTCCCACTGTTGGGCACAAGTCCTTAAAAAGGCACAAGCCCTTCAATATGAGTGGGTTCAGGATATAGCCCACCACGCTGGCCAAGTGCGGGAGGACTGAGCATGTTCTTCGAGAATTTGCTAACTTCTCTCAGACATGCAGATTTTCTCTCGATATTTTCCTTCACCGTAAGAAAGTGGTAACCATGTTGGAAATGTCAAATTCACAAACTAGACATCGGCAATAAGGGCTACCGCGCATGAATTCGCCGCGAAACAAATATTCGTGCTCATCACACAAATGAATGCCCCAGCGGGATTCGAACCCGCGACTGCTGGCACAGCAAGTACAATCTTTACAGTACAATCTGAACCAAACGAGTGTCAAATGACTCTTCATCGTGGATTTTCATCAATAATTATTTATGATTATTGTAAACGTTGTGCCATTTCTGATTACTTATGGCAAACACGGTACGGCACAATAAATGTTATTGCTTTAAAAAAAGAGCTAAGAAATAGTCAATATTTTATCTAACAATTATTATTATATTAAATTTATGGCCGCACTAACAAATCCTTTTTAACGACACAATAGGACCTCACTCGCTAGTGCAGCCAACTGGTGCCACAAGAGACAATAGCCCTAATTCAGGCTATTCTTTGGGATATTTTTGTTTATCTAAATAGATAATAGATGTCGTTGGTCCATAAACTTAAACTACCTTATTTTTTTATTAATATGTGTAAGCAAAATCTTGTTAACTGTTGTAAAATTCATCCTGCATTCAATTTAATTTATTTTAAAATTCAATTTAATTATTGCAGTAATGTCAAACTGTGAAATCAGTAAAACAAAAATTTATTATATTATTTCTGACAATAACAATACAATAAATAGGTAGGTGAATATGAACTAGAAAAAAAGGCTTTGACAAATATCAAGTGGGAAATAAAAAAATACTAAAATCTACATACTACGATGCGACGTTTCATTTCTCGCCGTTTTATATTACACTAATCGTTAATCCGCTGCTTTGATAAATACCTATTTCACACAATTCTGCGTATTAAAAAACCGCTAAAACAGCGGATTTGACAATCCATCTGCGACTTATATACCTATTGGGTACTTTTTGACAGTGATTCGAAAAAGATTTCACATAAATGAGGGACATTACAAAGCACAAGAATATTATTTTTATTGAAAATAGAATAGAATAGAAAATATTGCTACAACGACTATAGAACCAAATTTATTGGTAAATAATTGGTAACCCGTAACATAAACAAACATTTTGTGGTGGAAATTTTGGTGCGTGAGTAATACTCGCATGGGGATTGTAATGTGACTTCGATTGAGTTTTAAACTTTTAACGCTTAAAGGATATCTTCAACTTTTAAGATTTAATTCTTGTAATTAGTCAAACAAGTTTCTAGATGTTTCTATTTTCCATTACTTAGTTTTATGTTGGGATTCATAATATTTATTATATAAACTAGAGACTCACCCTCGCTTCGGCTTCGCTCGGGGTCGTCCTTAGGTACGTTTTAACGGTTAGTGATTCCCATACAAAATAAACAGTTCTGAATTTTTCGATTTTCTAGCCGTTTTTTTTGGGTATTTCCTATTTTTTATATTTAAACTACCCCTGACACATAACTATGTATATATAAAAATGTTTAAAGTTAAAAAAATTTGTAAGGTAATTAGTGAAATTTTAATTTTCTTAATTGAGGGTAGGCTGTCTGTAACAACTATACCTTCGAGACATGTAACACCTGTCTCTCGCGTGACCATGAATGCTGTAAAGCATTCGAAACGTCGGGAAACAAAAATGCAAATAAATCCGCGACAAAATCCGGAAAGATAGTTTTATTTAAAAAGTTGTTATTTATATTTCAAATCTGTAAGATTAATAAATTAAGAAAAACTTTTAACATTGCACTCAGACGAAAACATGATTCAAACGAATGTCACACAAAGAAGAGACCGAGAGATTAATATTTTTTCTCTTTCTATATAGTTGGATTCTTACATCCATCGCATATACCTACTCTAGAAGAAGGGACGAACCCGAGCGAAGCGAGCGTGAGCCGCTAGTTATAAATATTTTGTATTATATTTGAAAGCAAAGTAGTAAAAAATGGGAATCTTTGAAGATAGCAACGGAAACAAAATCATATATACCTATCATTTTTTAGACAATAACAACGATTACTATGGCAACCATGACGGTTTTTCGTAAAGCGACCTTGAAATTTTACTCTCAAGCGCGCAAAGAAGTTTCACTGTATAGTGTAGTACAATAATAGGACGTTCCTCTATATAAAATGTGAGCGAGCGATATATCAGCTCTGTCGCCAAGCTATAAAGTGATCGCCAATAAATATTTCAGAAGGCTTAGAAGGTAGCTTTGAAAGCTCCCGTCCCTTTCGAGGGCCATAACGTCGTTAAATAAAAGTATTAGAGCCTTTTACTTGTAAATGTAATAAACTGGCCTGGTGGGTAATACCAATGAATTTATCAATAAATGTGTTGAGATGAAAGGTTTTTGACTGACTCAAAAGGTAGGAGTGCGTGTAGATTTTATTATTGTTTGTTTTTTATAGTCGAAAAATTTCATGTAGGTATTATATATGAATTGTGTACTTAAGTATCATGCTTAATGACAGCTTTTTTTTAAATTTTGATTTGGACCAACTACAAAGTAAATTATAAGTCCATTTATAAATAAAAAAAATGTTCTCCCTTGTCTAACATATTACAAATTTTTTTATTGGTAATAACGGAACCCGTTATAATTTCGTTACATTAGTACATTTTTTTAATTATATGTATATTTATTTCAATGTATTGTTTGTTCATAACTGAAATACGAGAAATGTAAAAAAAAATCCGGATGGAAGAAGTAAACTAAAAAAATAGGAATAATAATCCAATTAGATAGCACATGCCCACAATATTTCACGACAAAAATTTTTTTTTGATTACATCAATACTGTATAAATTCGTACTATTCGTATAATGTTTATAATATAACCTAATAATATTGTATTTTAATTTGTAACTAAACAAATTGCATCAGTAAGACCTCACATTAATATTGTGTCGGTGTGGAATCCCATTCCACAGTATGTTATCGGAACTTGCATTTGTCTATTTTTTTATAAGCGGAAAACTAACTATAATGGTAGCTACTACTTTACTTTTGATTAAAAAAATTTTTTTTCAAACAAGCTTTTATGTCATATAAATTGTGTAATGTAATAAATGTGTTTGATTTAAATTAAATTTTTATTTTTATTTTTTAGCTATTTATTCCTATTCTTCTCAGCAAATCCTTTCATTTGATATCCATATCATGGAAGGTGCATAAAAAAATAGTTTACTATCTTTGAGAGTCCGCCATATTGCATTTAGAATGACGTCACTTAGCTAACCATGTATTTTCATCCAAATAAAACGTGTATGCAAAATTTCAGCTCAATCGGTTGAGGGTTACTTTAAAATTCAGTTGCAAAATTTAACCCGAACAAACATACTTACGAATATTGTATCTTAAATAAAAGCTTGTAAAAATGACATTATACATATGTAGCAGTCCCAAAAATACTTTAAAAATATTTCACCTTATAAAAGAAAAAAAACATAATAAGCCCATCATAATTAAATTAAATTAAAAATTAAAAAAACCCCACATGTAATTCGCCATTTTTGTGGCCATCTTGGATCGATTTTCATCAAACATAGCTAAGAACACTCCCGACTAATTCACCTTTCAAACAAAATAAAACAAAATCAAAATCGGTTCATCCGTTCGGGAGCTACGATGTCACACACAGACACGTTAAACTTAGAACACCCCATCGTTTTTGCATCGGGGGTTAAAAATATATTGTTTTAAGCATGATGTTATGTTATCATATCAATCAGCCGTTAATGAGCTGACGTGACGTTATTAGCTACGACCGCAAATTAGTCTCGCGGAGTTCATCTGCATTTAGTACTTTAAAATTAACTTATTCCAGTAAGCTTACTAATCTAGATATCGATTATATGGTACACTAATTTTTGCCCACAGTTTTTCTCGCATGTTAGATACGCGTAA